CCAAGGTGGTATCACTATGGAAGTAGATTGCCCAACCTTCCTTCCAAGGAGTAGCTGGTGGGTTTGAACCACCAGCCTTCTGGTTAGCAGTCAAGTGCCTTAGGCATTATGCCACCAGAGCTCTTCCTTTAACACTTTGAGGATCCTATACCTGCATCTTCTGAATTCCTTATCAGATAAGGAATTAATGCTTGTTCTTCCTTGGGGAAATCCTAATTCTTTACCTTGGCCACTTGTTGCTACTGTCTTGTCCTGTTTTTTTTTGTTGTTGTTGTTGTTGTTGTTTGTTTGATTTGAAGTTGTCTGTTGTGTCCTAGACGTTTTGAAGTTGTTGTCTTTATTTTCTAGTTATGTATTGATTTGTTTCACCCTGGTTTTATATTTTACTATAGCTAGAAGTGTAGAACCCATGTACTTCTTTGGCTGTTAACTCGGCTGTAGTGGGTCACTCTCCAGCTTTCTCTTTGTTAGTGGAATCACTGGTGGGGATGTGGGTGCAGGTCTCTGTTTATCGTGAAGAGAATTTGCAGTACGATGCCATTTTCCCATTGGTGTTACTTGTCTTTTGGGTGAGTTGGTCAGTGTAGTAGCTATGGCTAAATAGTGTAGGGTTAATACGTTCCTCCCATTGGACAAGGCAGGGAGCCAAAAAAGCCACGGAGAAGAAAAAGAGATGAAAAGATAGAACAAAAATAGATGACAAGAAAACATAGTATAAAAGAAAACAAAATGGACAGGTGGAAGGGATGATGTTTTTGCAAAAATTAAAGAGAAAAAGGAAAAAATGAAGGGAGGATAAGGTCTTTGAGGAGGGGTCTCTCCAGTTGTGTTCAGCCAGTGGCCCTGAGAACTAGCCACTGGGCAGAATCCACTCACTCACTGGAGCACCCTTGTAGGAGAAAGGGGTTCTGCACAAGAAGCACACCCTGGAAGAGAAAGACAGAGGCTGTTTCCTGTGCTTAGTGCAAGATAATTCAGTCAGCTATGCTGGCACAGGAAGGACAGCCTCAGCCCCTGGCTCCGTCTGGAGCAGTCTGCCAATGATGGTTCCCAGCCATCAATCAAAGTCCTGCAGTTCAATACTGCCAGCCACCCCAAAGGACAAAGGACTGCCTTCCTCTGTACAGATCCAAAAGTCACGAAATCCCAGGTCCTAGTTCCACTCTGTGCTAAAAAGTGTTGCTGAGAGTTGGACCCACTGCCATGTGTCTGATTTGGGGTTCTGTTTATTTGGAAGGAGTTACTCTTCCCTTTCCCCCACTCCCTTCCAGACTCCGTGGCAGCGTAAGCTAAGGGGGTCCTGTTTAGTTTCCCAGTACAATCTTCGTCCTCCCTTGCAGCCCCAGCTCACCTTGAAAAACTCCTGGTGGGATTCAGAATATTGAGTGTTTAATGCCTGTGGGTTCCATGATGTGATTTTTTTTTTTTTTTTTTTCTCCTCCTCCTTGACTTCCCTTTGTATTTCTAATGACTTCTCTTCAGCTATGCTGGCTGGGCAAATTTTTTTATTTTTCCTAGTTGCTTAAGCTCCTCCCTTTCATTGTCTTCACTGGATCTAATACTTTATCTTCTCATTCCAAAACCATAACCAAAACCAGACTCACTGCCATTGAGTCAATTCCAATTCATAGCGACCCCCACTGGGTTTCCAAGGCTGTTAATCTTTATGGAAGTAGATTGCTCCATCTTCCTTCTACAGTGTGGCTCGTGAGTTTGAACCACTGACTTTCTGGTTAACAGCCAAATGCCTTACCCACTGTGCCACCAGAGCTGCTCATAACTCCAGTATCATTATTTGCATCTACTTTACCTCATTTCTCAACATCTCTGTTGATAGAGGGACTTCGCGCACAGTCCTAAGTATGATGCCATTTTCCCATTACATCGTTTGATTTCTTGACTGCTGCTTCTAGGGTGTTGATTGTAGATCCAAGTAAAATGAGATCCCTGACAACTTCAGTCTTTTCTCCATTTATCATGATGTTGCTCATTGGTCCAGTTTGTGAGGGTTTTTATGTCATTATATCAGTTCAATCTGTTGTGATATGCATTTGCTCCCAAGAAATGGAATTGAATAAACAACAGAGTGCATCCCATGTAGTAAGGATTAGTGTTACTTTGTGTTAACTTTGGTTTTAGTTGTCTGTTCTTGGGCCATTGTGTAAAATGCATCTCACTGTGCATCTTTGTCAGTAAGGTTTGAACGCACTGAAATATGCATAAACATTTTGATGCCCTTATGTTCACTTAGCACTTACTTAATCAAATTCTCTTACAATGGGCTGTTCACAAAGATGACCATGAACAAGCTATAGGCCCTTCCCACAGGGTGTTCGCAGGTTAGGAGAGAGAAGCAGGTGCAAAGTATAAATACTAAAACAATGCCTGCAGATGTCTCTAAGGAAGCAGAAATACAAGAGTCTTCAAGTATGAACTCTTAACCTTAGAGGCAGAAGGAAAGTGGAAAGGGTTGACATTCAGAAACACTAGACTTGTGCAAAAGGACATAAATTATAGAAGGTCATGAGTGGAAACTGTAAGTAAAGCTAGAGTGTGGCCTATGTGTGGAGAATAATAGAGATAAACCCATATAGGTAGGTGTTACGTGCAGTCGAGTCAATCCTGACTCACAGCCACCTTGTAGGGCAGAGTAGAATTGCCCCATAGGGTTTCCAAGGCTGTAGTCTTACAGGAAGGAGCCCTGGTGGTGCAATGATTAGGAACTCAGCTGCTACCCAAAGGGTATGCTGTTGGAATCCAGATGCCCCATGGGAGAAAGATGTAGCAGTCTGCTTCTATAAAGTTTTACAGACTTGGAAACCCTGTGGGGCAGTTCTCTGATCTGTAGAGTTGCTGTGAGTCAGAATCAACTAGAAGGGAATGAGTTTGTGTTTTGTTGTTGTTGTTGATCTTTACCAAAGCAGACTGCCACATCTTTATCCTGTGGAGTAGCTGGTGGGGGTGAGGGGGTTGAACCACCGACTTTTTAGTCTGAGCACTTAACCCCACTGTACTCCCAGGGCTCCTGAAAGGCAGCTAGGCATCAAATATTAAAAATTTGGTATGCTACACTGAGAGGTTTGAACTTTATCCTATTGCCCCGGGGTCAGCAAACTTTTCTATAAAGATAGTAAATATTTTAGGCTTTGTTGATGATATAATCTCTGTCACTACTACTCAGCTCTGCCATTGTGGCAGGAAAACAGCTGTTGACAACATGTAAACGAGTGGACATGGCTGTTTTCCAATAAAACTTTATTTATAAAACCATACAGAGGGCTGGATTTAACTTACAACCCTTAGTTTGCTGACCCTTAGGAATTTTGGTTCTCAAACGTTAGGGCCGTTAGAATCACCTGGAAATTGCTAGACCACATCCTCAGAATTTCTGGTCCGGAAGACACAGGGTAGAGCTGAGGATTTGCAGTTCTGGTAAGTTCCCAGGTGATGCTGATGAACAGTAGACTAGGCCATTTGAGGCTGGCTGGTGGGGGTTGGTAGAAAAACAAGAATTCTATTGCTAAATTACTCGAATGCCACGCACATTGTATCTTATAGATTATAACTGGCTATTAAAACATTATGGTATGAAGAAATAATTGCTTCAAAAATTAATCTGATCATGCAAGGAGACCAGATGTAAGACTGTTGGAATGACTCAGTTATAAAGTAATGGCACTTGAAATAAAGGCAAAGGCAAAGATGCTTCATAGAATAAAGTCATGGGATTTGGTGATTGCTGGGAAACAGAAGGAGATGGAGCCATTGATTGGGAAAGAGAAAAGAGTAGAACCATTTGCAAAAAAAAAGGCAAGTTAGTCAAAAAGAAAGTTGAAAGAAATGAGTTTGAAAAACTGTTGACTAATACAAGTGACAATGTAGGATATGCCCCCACCCCACCCCAAAATAACTAATACAGATTTTTGTTAGCATGGTACAAAAACCTCACTGTGATTTAATTTGCTCATTTATAAAAATAGGGTTAACACCTTGTCAGATTGCTGTAAGAATTAAATGAAATACTGCTGATAATAAGAATGTCCACTGACACTACCATTATCCTGTTACATGTCTGGCTCTGTGCTAAGCACTTTATATTCGTTTAACCCTTACTAACCCTGTGAGGTGGGTACTGAAATTATCCTACAGATGAGGAAAGAGATTAAATAACTTGTACAAGGCCACATGGTAGTCAGTGACAGAGCCAAGATTCCAACTAGTCCAAGACTTGCTCCTAACCATATACCATACTGCTCCCTTTAATATAAATGATGGACAGAAAACCTTCTACAAAAATGTCCACCCACCTCTGTAAATACTGGTTTTTCTTTTGTGATACCAGTTCAGCATGTATTTATTAATGATGTACTACTAAAGAAAAGAAATAAAAATGAGTATTTTTTCTAATTTCTTTACATGAAGTTTTAAATTTCTCTCCTAGCTCAATGTCGATTGCTGCAAGCTTAGTGAGTGAAGATACAAAGACCAAATTTTTGAACAAAATGGGCCAGTTGACAACATCGGGTGCCATGTTGGCCAACGTGTTTCAGAGAAAGAAGTAAGCACAGGAAGGGGAGGCCTCCAGTGAACACTAAGAAGGACCTCAGGCAGATTGGTTCCTTGTACTTGAAGTACTTGCCTTTTTTATTTCCTCTGTTTCATGTTCTTGCATTATAATTTTACCCTAATCTCCAAAGAGTTTTGCACTGCTATTGATTATTGCTGTATATGTGTTAATTTGGGTTATAACTGTGGTGATAGGAAATTGAGTTGAGTCTGTACCAAGTCCCTCTTCTGTGTTTTTGTCTTTCAGAATAATTTTATATATATATAGTGAAGAGTTTGTTTTTGTCTGTTTGTTTTTTTATTTTGGGATGGGATATTAGCAAATATCTGTATTATATACTGAGCTATTACAATGGTACTTAAAATAATGTAAATTTGAGGTCATTGTTATAAAGTAATAAAAGTGGAGATTGCTTAAGTATTTAAATTATGAAAGAATAATGCAGACTTCTCATTGTTTCATAACTGACTAGAAAGAGCCACCAGCATTACTCTGTGCCTTTTGGACTCCAGTTTGTGTGTTCTGTAGGAATTGTGGACATTCCATTCACACAGCATTTCTCCATGATGCTGTGAGGAATGGGAGTTACAAACCCTACAGCAAAAAGATAATGATGAAACTTTGAACATTTCAGAGCTCTCATGGATACTTCTAAAGTGCTGTTTAACCTCCCCAGCACCTACATACGTATAGTGAACTTACCTGAGGAAAGACAGCACATGAGCATGGGGCGTATAACCAAGGGAGCTTTATAATCTGGTGTGTAGTGTATTTAAATGCTCAAGAATAAGTGTAATTGAGAAGCACTAATAATTGTGAGGATTTCCCAAATTGACATGCAGAAGAAAATACAGTTTGAACCTGAAATTTAACATTTATTTATATAAAGTATTTTATTTAAGACATTATTTTCTAATGATTTTAATTTCAGATATTTTCATTCTGGGTATTACGGAGAAGTACTGAAAAGTTAAGGACATTGAGAGCTGCTTTTTTCCTCTAAATAAAATTGGCACTGGCTAAATTGTTATTGGTTAGTTCCCACATCACCCTGCAGGTCTATGACTATTATGTGTTATATACATACATACATACATGTATATATAACATAAAGTCTTAAGTCAGTGTACAAATTGCACTGGAATTTGATACTTGTCAACACAGTACTGCAACTTGAAGTGGGAAAGAGTGGTCTTGGAAATGGAGCAGGGGGTGGTGGACCAGCTTGTGGGGTTAATGTGAGGCCATTTTGAAAGATGACTATTTTAATAAAGAGATTCTAGGCTGAGCACAGTGGATGCACATAGGTGCTTCTCCTATTTGTTGTATAAATTGGTTTAATATACTTGAAACATAGTTGAATTGTATTCACTTCCAGGGAAAGCTAGCTTACCACACATTCAAGCTTATAAAATAACTTGCCACAGGCAAAGCCATTTAAAAAGTTCATCTGAAATGATTTCTTTCACCTGCAGTGAAATAATTGTTGACTCACTAGTCTTTCTGGAAACTCTTGGATTCTAGGCATTCCTGAGAAATTGAAAGTGGCTACCTTTCATGTCAGAAATGTTGATCTATTATAAATAAAATGTTTTGCATACTTTTTGTTTTGTTTTTGGCTATGTGTTTTATTTTCATTTTAAAACACGATATCCTATATCCAAGCAAAAGAAAGGGACAAAGTATATATTCATGAAAAGGTGTGAGTATGTTATTGTAAGCATGCAGTTGATACAAACTACTTGATTTACTTTTACTAAAAGAGATGTGTTGCCCTATGACTAACACTTTACTGAGATAATTTAAAGAAAAATGTTTAAATTCTGATTTGCTTTGAACAGTAATGGGATAAATGTTACCAGATGAACAGATATGATATATTTTGTTGTGACTCTTATTAATTAGTGAATGCATGTATTTAAATGCTGATGATTTTTAAAAAGACAATAGCAAGCAAGATACCTAATGTATTTCAAATGAGACTCCCTTATAAGGCCCTTAAACATCTATTGTTAAAATTTCACATTTAATAATGCAGATTTTGATAGTAAAATATGGATTCTTTAAAGACAAGACAGGCACTTATCACTAATGCTGAAACCACAAAACTCACCACAAAGCTCCCAAACTCATTCTCTTTACCAGACTGCGAACAGGTGGTTCCAGTTGAACCTCCTTGCTGAGAATTTCCATGTCCACCCCTGATAGACTGAATCAGAATCTACGTTGTAACAAGATCTTTTGCACACATAGCATCACCTGGGATCTTGTTAAGCTGTGGATTCTGATTCAGTGTATCTGTGGTGGAAATACAAGTTGTCAGCAAGAGGTTGAACCAGAATGAAATGTCTCAGTCCCCTGCTTTCTACATAGAATAAAACTTAAGGTGCAGGTTTAAGTATTCAGTTTAACAAAAAGCTAAGTTTGCAAAGCAATGAAAATTGGAAATTATGGCAGTGTTCGCAAGAAAGCAAGCCAGAGGTTAAACTTTTTCAGAAATCCAGAAGTAGCA